TGGCCAACGAGTTTTCATTTTCTTTGTGTTGTGCTCCTTTTTGCGTCATTTTTTGGTTCCGCCTGAATGAGAATGACGAGAGGACGTCGACGATGATGAAGTTATCAGGCAAAAACAAGCCAAAAGTTGGCACAGTTTCAAAAAGTTAGCCCACATAGAATGTTGGGAAGAGAGGGATTGGGGCTGGCGAGCAATCAAAAAAGAAAACTGCAAATTCTAGAACAAGGCACACGAACTTTGCCCGCTGAGCTGCAGCGAGCGAAAGAGACGGCCTGAGCCCGGGGAGAGTGAGACGGCCAGGCCGGATGGAAAGAGTAGGCTAAACGGGCACCGAGGACATCAAGGATTTCCGTCCAAGTGCGAATGGCTCTCTTGGATCTCCGTCAATAGCGGAGGAATGGGCACATGGACAGGAGCCACAGGAACTGAAGGCAAAAACAACAGCGACACCAGCAATAACAACAACGACGACAGCAGTTGACAAATGCAACAAACGACAAGTTAAAATTCATGTTCATTGTAGTTCCCACAAGTTTGCCTTTGCTGGGGTTAAAACACAACATTTCTCGGCATCAAACCAACAAGCTGGGAATGTAAATGGCAACTGACAAACAGCAGTTTAAGTATTTTAAAACGATTTTCGGTGCACTGACTTGAGTAAGGTAAGGATAAATAGACAAAATCAAACATTTTTTACATTTAAGATGAACTTTGGGAAAATAAAATATACAATTTTAAAATCACTTCAATTTTAATATCCCAATGTTATACTAAATTTACTAAATTACTAAATTATTTGAGACCAATTTTGTTATTCGAACGAATGGAATTTTCCCTAAAGGTGATAAGTCCCAAACACACACACAGAGTCCAACACCTACGTTCTAGCATGTCTCAGGGCGACGTGAAAGACTTGTTAAGGGTTTTCCGATTTCTGGGCGTTAGAGTGGGCGTGGCTCCGTTTTAAAATAAACTTGCCAAATCCCAAATCTCTAGCTTTTGTAGTTTCCGAGATCTCGACGTTCATACAGGCAGACAGATCGACTCGGCTATTGATCCTGATCAAGAATATATACATATATATATATTTTACATGGTCGGAAACGCTTCCTTCTACCCTTTTACTCTACGTGTTAAGGGGATAAAATCTTACGCTAGCAAATTGCCAAGTATTTTAATTTAGCAAAATTCAAGATAAAACAATACTGTTGGCAGCTGCCACTTCACTTCACTCACAGATCCGAAACAAAACATTGGCGCAATATACACACATATAGCATAAAGTGGTCAGAATATTTTACCTACTGATATCTGCAGATGAAAGTGTTTCTGCCGCCTCACCTGACTGACTAACTGACTGACTTTCGTTCCGCTCCACTTTAGACAATAATATGACGTATGTTGGACCCAACATGAAGTTAGCCCGCAAAATAATAAAAAGGCTATAATAAATTTCTGTTTTGCAAAATATTGCCAGGAATTCGGGAATGGATTGTATGGCAGTCGGAGCATTTCAAGCGGAAAGTGCACATTTTGCAGAAAGTGCTACCCCCGGGGGAACTGGGATGAGATGGAGTATAAAAGGAATTAGGAATGCAATTTGAGGTTATGTTAGCAATGTGCAACCGGGCTAACTGTACCAACACAAACGTGGCTATACACTTGGAAAAATGGGAAGCGAAAATTTCAATAGGAAAGTCCTTGAATAAATATTTAAATTTTGGACTCGGATATCTTTAGATAAAATGCAAGGCATAGTTATGTTTTACGGTTTTCAGATAAAATTTAAGCATTGTCTTTATATATTCGACTTACAAATGAATTTTAATAATTGAATAAAAATCATTTGAAAAAAAGGAAATCACTTCCAAAACAATTTTTGTTTTGCCAAAGGGTAGAGCTACACCTCACCACATCAATTTGAACAATTAAAAAATATTTAAAAATTTTTTTTGTAATGTCACATTTTATTAGAATTTAAATAGGTGGTTTTAAAGTATTTTTCTGATTTTGGACTACATTCAACAAATGGTTTCAATTCGAATTTACAATTATATAGGTATTAAAATTTGTTTTGAGTATATGGCACCACCAACTCATTCTGACCACATCTGTATGCGCATTTGTTTAGATGAGAGACGGTATGTGTGTGTGTGTGTCAGTTAGACAAACAGACAGTTGGACTGACACTTGGACAGATGTTGGGATACGTTCAGAGCCTGGAACTTGGACTGCAGCTACGGTCTGGCAGCTGGACCTACAAGTCCTCCTGCGACCCCCAAAACCCCTTCCCAGATATTAATAGACGAAATTTGAGTATTGCTTCCGTCATGAATAAAATTTTGCATCCAGAGGGCAGCTATGTAGGGCATAGGGAACTATGTAGGGCTCCCCGAAAAACTTTTGACAATCCTCCCCTGGCTCCGCTCACACTCTGGAAAACTTCCCATCCAGAGTTGGTCCGTAAGCATTGTTCTGGGCTGCAGTTTCCTTGCCTAGAACTTTTCAAATTGTCCATTCAACGTCCATTCAGCTGTCTGTTTCTGTGGCTTCGTTTTCTGTTTTTTTATTTTGACTTTTCTTTTAATTTTAATGATGCCTTCTGAAAAATGTAAAATGCTTGCGTTGGCGGCGAGCTAAAAACATTTTGGGTATGTGCATTTTATGGGCGCATTGGGATCTGTTCTCCAAGGGCAATGTTTTGATAGGAACGAAAAGTAATAAAAACCAAGCCCACATCTTTGCTAAAATTGCAGTCTAAATTAAACATCCGACTTAATCAATCACAAACAAAATTCGATTTAGCCGCAAAGGTTACATTTAAAAGTTCTCCCCATCAAACGAAAATTCTAGCACTACAAACTGCAGAAATTGAAAGAAACGCAGCGAAACGAACTGAGCCGAAACCACAGAGCGAAATGCGGTAACACGCAAAACTTTGCTGAATCAACTACTAAAAGATTTATGGTATCAAAATAGTGCCACATAAAATATTCACACCTTGGCCCGGCTGCCAGAATCTAACGACTCCAGAGGGCCGGCGAAAGGGGTTTACGGGAAGAGGGTTGGCCAACTGATGCCTTTGGCCCGATAAAGCCATTGTTTATACTCCGCACAGCGACTGGGTTGTGGATTGCATTTTGGCCATAAGTTGGCAACATTTTTTATGCGTTCATCATGCGGTCAGCATAAATTTTTCATCGCCATCGCCGCTTTTCCTTCGCTCAATTTGCCCCCTACACGTTGCCAATTTTGAAGTCTGAGGGGCCATAAATCAGGGCGTTTAAAGTCGCCAGATGAAAAACTAGGACTGAGCAATTTCTTTTCGGCCAAAACATATAAAAACCATTTATTCCACACCAATATGTTTGTGACCTTAATACGTGTTCTTGTGTGCTTTTTAGTGTCTGTTGTAAGTGTTTGCTTGCGTAGGGGAAGTCTGAAAACAAGGCGAGTGTGATTAGAGAGACACCAATCATGCAAAAGTACTAAAATCAACCAATGATGGGCTCAAGGTAGTTGTCAACGCCAATGGGGGGCCTTACTCGCCAATTTTCCTGTAAATACATAGAAGTGGATGATTAGTTTTTAAAATATATACTTTATATCACTAAGTATTTTTTGTGCTTTTAGAATGTAATAATTAGAAGGGAAAGTTTATCGTTTCTTTTATGCAAGAAGAACGGACGCTCTCTTAAGCGGACAACATAAATTTTAAAACTTTTAAAATTAATGTTTCTTGGACGGACAAGCGCTAATGGTTACATGTATTTTTTTCTCTTATGCAGACTCACCACAATTGAACGAATGATTACTCTTGCCGCACTTGGGAGATTCGTGCATGGATGGTGTGCTGGAGAATACAAGTTAGAAAGGATTGCTGGTGAGGATGGAATTAGGCTGCTGAAACCCCCAGACGAGATCTACTTACTTCAGTCCGTTGCGAACATCCCGGTACATGCTTGATGGCGGCACTTCGTACGAGGCTTTGGTGCGACTGCCCTGCTGGTGGTGCTGATGGTGGTGCTGGGGCTGCTGCTGTTGGTACTGCTGATGCTGCTGCTGCTGCTGGTGGTACTGCGGCTGGTGGTTCTGCATGGGCTGGCTATACTGCCACACGTTGCCGTTGTTCATCATCTGGCTGGAGTTGGGACCAGAGTTCCAGCTACCAGGATGAGAGGGCGACGAGGGGCAGGACCCAACCATTCCACCACTGGCTCCGCCCGTCAGACGACCCTGGTGCATTGGGGTGGCAGACCCAGACTGGTTGTACTGCTGGAGGGGCTGCATCTGACCCATCGAGGTGGTCATGGACTGCAGGTCGGGAATCACCGCATTGATTCCGGGGGCGTCGATGGCGCCCATGGGATTCCCCATCATGGGCATCATGGTCATGCTGTTCAGCGGCGTCACCGCACCGATTGGCAGTTGGCTGGTCATCGTGGACATGGGGGTCATCGCGTTGCCCGAGGGCATCATGGCCAGCGGCATACTCTGCATGGGGTACGAAGACATCGGTGGAGCAGCCGGCATGGGCATTTGCATCTGCAGGTTCATCTGGGGAGGATTTAGTGGCTGCATCGACATGGACTGGCCTTGTCCCTGGCCGGGACTCATGCTCAACGGATACTGGGGCACGCTCTTCATCTAGAAACGGGGAATACATTAGTAATTCAGGACCTTTAGGAAGATTTCATCATGCTCACTTTGGAATCGGCGTACATGCCGTAATCAGCTTCGTAGGGCACTGAGCAAAAATTCATTTTCGAATTGAGGAAAATTAGTGGGTTTCCAAAAGAATTATACAAAATTTGCAACTACAAATTTTTTACTACAAAATTTTTACAAATTTTTGATTTTATTACTTTTATCAAATAGATCTGAGCCTGACGATGAACTAAATACGAATGAAGGTAGAGATTGGAAAACTACCCATACTTGTGACATGGGCGAGAAAAACCTACTGGGATCTCTTATGCGATGAATATCAAATGTGAAGTGTTTTTAAGCTTTAATCTAAATGGCCCTGGAAATTTAAGTCATTTAGGTTGTACAAAATTTGTTGTTACCATATCGAGTTAATGGGACCAAAAAGCCGCAAGGGCAAGAAAAAAGAGAGAAGTCGCAAAAATGGCCATCTTCCGAAGAACGCAAAATCGAAACATTACAAGAAGTACCACAAGAAGTACCACAAGAAGTACCACGCCCGTCCATCGAAGATTTTCCACGACAACTGCTGCATGTACAAGGTTCGTCAGCGACCCTTGCGATTGAACCAGGTCGATTTTGGCACCCAGTGCTCCACTCGCACGATAGCCTTTTCCGACTCTGTGCCACTCCTGCAACACCCTATCCGGAGTAGGGTGGTCCATCTGCCGGAAACCGTGGTCATGCATATGCGGAATATTGAGGAAGCCCATCGAGTGGCGGGAAGCTTCAGAAACACCCTTATTCGAGCCCTTGTCCCAGTTCCGGATATCGAAGAAGGGGACAGTATGCACCAAGTGGATCTGAGACCACGACATGTCGAGCGAAGGGACCGAAAAAGGCCGTCTTGTAGCGAAATGGACTTGGAGAACTTCTTTCAGAGAGGATAGAAAATTGAATGTCCCAGGATAAAATACAATTCCAATAAATATATCAGTTTTTTCGTTAGACTTATTTGCAAAATTGTCAAAAAAAAAAAAATTAGTAAGTTAACAAACACAAAGATATTCAGTTGGAAAGAATAATATTCCTTCGACATTATACAAGTAAAATAGATTTATAGTACAACATTTCAGTCCCAACTTCGACATTTCTATTTCCTACAGTTTAACTTCACTTCATTTGCAGCTGTTCCTTCCTCGAACCACAGTACCCAGGGGAATAAAGACTATTTTAGTACCTTTAACTAGTTGCTTCGCCCCCCAGGGGCATTTCGTGATCATCCATAAGGCCACGCCCCTCCGCCAGTCTCCTCCCGCCATTGTCCACCCACCCGGGCTGTCCAGGACAATTAATTTTGCTCCCGGCTTGTCAGCTTATTGTTTATCTACATAAATACGGGACACGAAGAACGGCTGCCCTGAGCTGTCGTGTCATTTATCCTGCTGCTCCGACCCGTTCCGACCGACTTTCGATATCCTTTCGGCCGCGGTGCAGTTGCCACACCATTTATGCCATTAAGTCATTAGCTTTGTTTAACAAATAACAAACTGTCAATGAGTGATTAACGATGTTTTTCGCATGAACTGCAATTAGCCGCCGCCCGAGTTGTTCCCTCTGACAAATGGGTGTGATTTCGCTCCCAGCGGTGTTTCCCTCGATCCGAGGTGCACTGGGTGGATTGATGGCTGGTGGGATGATGGGATAAGGACGGGGCGACTGGGTGACAAGCACTCGTTATTGATGCGCCCCCAAGTTGCCGTCACTTGGCAATTATTGTGTATTGTGCTCCAAGTCAACGGCGTTTGCCATAGTCATAGACATAGTCATGGAGTAGTCACACTCATCGCAGCCATCATTGGATGGCAGTGGTGGCACAGCTTGTAGCCAACGCTATAATAACTGTTTTTAAATGTAAAGGATGAGAAGCAAGTACTAGCAAATTGGCAAATATCTGACCAAAAATATAAACCTCTTTTTGGAATACGAGTTAGTTTTCCATAAAATAAGTTACCTTACTTATTTAGGGTCCATGAAAAAAATCAAGATTTTAGTTGGCCTTTAATAAATAAACCTATTAAAGGATTGGCTATTTAGTTGCTTTGATATTTTTATACCCTTGCAGAGGGTATTATAATTTCAGTCAGAAGTTTGCAACGCAGTGAAGGAGACATCTCCGACCCTATAAAGTATATATATTCTTGATCAGCATCACTAGGCGAGTCGATCTAGCCATGTCCGTCTGTCCGTCCGTCTGTCCGTCTGTCCGTCTGTCCGTCTGTCCGTCTGTCCGTCTGTCCGTCCGTTTATATGCAAACTAGTCTCTCAGTTTTAAAGCTATCTGCATGAAACTTTCCCAAAAGTTGTCTTTCTATTGCAGGTAGTATATAAGTCGGAACGAGCCGGATCGGACGACTATAGCATATAGCTCCCATAGGAACAATCGGAAAAATAAAGGAAAAAAATTATAACTTTGCTGTTTTTTAATTTTTTGTTTAGTTCTTCGACATTTAGTAATGGTTAAATATTTCCGATTTACGGTTTAAATTTCATCAAAATCGGACGACTATAGCATATAGCTCCCATAGGAACAATCGGAAAAATAAATGAAAAAAAATTATAACTTTTCTGTTTTTTAATGTTTTGTTTAGTTCTTCGACATTTAGTAATGGTTAAATATTTTCGATTTACGGTTTAAATTTCATCAAAGTCGGACGACTATATCATATAGCTCCCATAGGAACAATCGGAGAAATAAATGAAAAAAAATTATAACTTTTCTGTTTTTTAATTTTTTGTTTAGTTCTTCGACATATGGCAATGTTTAATTATTTCAGAATTATGGTTTAAATTTTATCAAAATCGGACGTCTATATCATATAGCTCCCATAGAACTAATAAAAATATATAAAATAACTATCTAATAATTGAGCTGCAAATCATCATAGCTTCACTGTTTTTCAGTATATACTGAAGTAAATCATAATTTAAATGTTTTCAAAAGTATTTAATTCATGCAATAGCTGCAAGGGTATATGAACTTCGGCTTGCCGAAGTTTGCTTTCTTTCTTGTCTAATATCATTTTTTAAAGCCCGTTTCGTTTAAAGTTTTGTGTTTTACGTTGATCCATACAAGTTCAAGCCAATAAATACATATGAATTATACTGTAAGACATTGACTAGAAATTTATTTAGATAAAATATCTTGTTAAAATATTGGGTAAGCCAGTTCCCTTCGATACAGCTTTAGCTGCTCTTCTACATTTATTTTAGAATTGATAGTTGCCAACTCTGATGGTAAGTGGGAGCGAAAGGCGCAGCAAGAGCAACGCAATTATACCTGTTGACAAGTGTAATGTCAGCCAACCGCGACTGCCATTCTCATTGGCATCTCCGCGCAGCTCCGTTTGAAACCATCCTGCTGTTTCTGCTGTCGACGTGACGCTCTTCATCACTCACTCGCTGGCTGCTTACACGCTCCCCAGTTACCAGTTGCCAGTTACCCCAGTTACCCCAGTTACCCGGCCCACTCCACTTGGCCACTCAGCTCGACGGGAGGACTACGGCTGGCGCCCCGGCTCATTCCAATCCGTGCGCTTATTTCCATATCCAGGAGCGAAGCAGGACTGTTACAAAGGGGCCCCACATTTTAATTATTCAAATAAATATTGTTATTTAAAATATAAGATTAAAATGCACCGGATTGTCAATGAAATTAAACTGTTTTTTGTAGATACTTAAACTATTATGTATCTAGTACTTGGTAATCCTAATTGTGTGCATATCAAGTACTAAAACTAATTATTCGATGTTGAAAATCGTCTATTTAATCACAAAGTTAATGCGTTAAACTATTTAGATTAAATTAAAACTTAAAACTTCTTTTCTGACTATAGTTTGTTTATACCCCAAGCCATACTCGTTTGGAACTATGGATTTCTTTTTCATTATTTAGCTAATTATTTATTTATGGCTTTTAGCCTCCTGATTTATAAATAGCTCGTTCTCCATGTATACATAAATCCATGTTTATTTGCATGCCAAAAATATTTCACACTGAAAATTGAAATATGCTTGTGATTTTATATTTACACTACTATAAACAATTAGTGCATGCCAGGTATTTAGTACCTGGCTTTCGCATCATGTAGATGTAGATGTAGAGATTCCCAGGTAATAAAAAATCATTGAACCGCTCCTGTTGGGAAATATTTACACTGTAATTATTATGCAAAATGCAATTGACTCCATTATTTACGATATTGTTAAACTTCGTGAGCAGAGTGCTAAGTAGGGTGAACCACATTGGACGGCGACAGCGAAACTTTCAATATATGTATATTGCTAATTCCATATTTCCATGTATATTTGTAATCAGCCAGCACAACATAAATGAGTTTGTGTGCGGTCGCTAATTGGCTTTGCCAGAGAGTTAATTACGGCGAAATTTGAAAATATCAAAATTGGACTTGTCAAAATCATTTTGACATTTCCCTTCCGATGCCCCGCCACTCCCCGTTTGCCCATTATTTGGAGGAAATTAGTTTTACAAACTTTAGCGCTTTTGCATTTCGCACTGTTTTGGTTTCAGTTGACTTTTAACTAAAAGTTGGCATTCTATTGTTGGCTTCGACACTCATTATGTGGCATTATTCTGACTATTAGCACTCGAATATCAAACATAAATGTGGAAATGCCATTCATCAAGTGGAGTGTTGATGTCCATTTGCATTACTGGCAAACATTTGCAGGGCCTAATTAAGTGCCATGAATCCGTGTTAATGAGTGCGCATTGAGTTCAAAAAATGGCGTTAAAATTGCAAACAAAAATAATTGTGAAATTCGCATTTCAGTTAACATTCGTGAAATGTGATTTGTGAAAATTGATTTGATTTTTGCTGGTGTCAGGTTGAAAAGAAAATTAAAATGGTGTTGTTGGTTTTGGAATGAGGTGATAGTTCTGTGATGAAAAATTAATTAAAAAGCATACAACTTTGTGCAACATACTGTCGTTAAACAAGCTGCCGGGCAATTTACATTAAAACAAGAAAGAAAGCAAACTTCGGCAAGCCGAAGTTCATATACCCTTGCAGCTATTGCATGAATTAAATACTTTTGAAAACATTTAAATTATGATTTACTTCAGTATATACTGAAAAACAGTGAAGCTATGATGATTTGCAGCTCAATTATTAGATAGTTATTTTATATATTTTTATTAGTTCTATGGGAGCTATATGATATAGACGTCCGATTTTGATAAAATTTAAACCATAATTCTGAAATAATTAAACATTGCCATATGTCGAAGAACTAAACAAAAAATTAAAAAACAGAAAAGTTATAATTTTTTTCATTTATTTCTCCGATTGTTCCTATGGGAGCTATATGATATAGTCGTCCGACTTTGATGAAATTTAAACCGTAAATCGAAAATATTTAACCATTACTAAATGTCGAAGAACTAAACAAAACATTAAAAAACAGAAAAGTTATAATTTTTTTTCATTTATTTTTCCGATTGTTCCTATGGGAGCTATATGCTATAGTCGTCCGATTTTGATGAAATTTAAACCGTAAATCGGAAATATTTAACCATTACTAAATGTCGAAGAACTAAACAAAAAATTAAAAAACAGCAAAGTTATAATTTTTTTTCCTTTATTTTTCCGATTGTTCCTATGGGAGCTATATGCTATAGTCGTCCGATCCGGCTCGTTCCGACTTATATACTACCTGCAATAGAAAGACAACTTTTGGGAAAGTTTCATGCAGATAGCTTTAAAACTGAGAGACTAGTTTGCATATAAACGGACGGACAGACGGACAGACGGACAGACGGACAGACGGACAGACGGACAGACGGACAGACGGACGGACAGACGGACATGGCTAGATCGACTCGCCTAGTGATGCTGATCAAGAATATATATACTTTATAGGGTCGGAGATGTCTCCTTCACTGCGTTGCAAACTTCTGACTGAAATTATAATACCCTCTGCAAGGGTATAAAAAATGCTTTTGGTTTATTACAGGGAAACTGCATGAAATTGAGCAGGACTTCTTGTGTAGATGCCAGGATAAACTTTGCCAGTGTTCCTCATTACTCATTAGA